AAAAAACGACTAAAAATTCAGTATCTCAGCAACAAAGCACCGTGGGGATGAACCAAGTTGGATTATTTCACTACTCATTAGGGCCTTTCTAACAAAAATAGTCCCAATCCGAAATCGATTTATAACTTCGGGTGGTTCCCTCGTAAGACCCACTGATAACGAAATAACTAATCATAAAATAAGGAATAACCATTTATTTTTTGTAAAACAGTTATTATTTTTTCTTTGAAAATATTTGTTATATTATTTTGTAAGGATTCCCAATATATGTTTAGTAAATGAGAAAATAGTAAAAATTAAACATTTTTAATTCAAAATGCGTTCTCTTTTCTGTCCCAATTAAATTGCGTTCTCTAAACAATTAAAAACGTTCTCTTTTCAATTTAATTGCGTTCTTTTTTAAATATTTTCTCAGATAAAATAAATTGAATTGTTGTATGTTTTTACTCACCGTCAGATCAGTTTCAGTCAATCGAATTTGATTATGATTTGCATTACGATGAAGATTGAGCAAATTGTGACGTCTTTAAAGGATAGAAGAAAAAAAAAGTCTGAAGGAGAAAGAGATCAAATACTCACTTTTGAACGGCCTTCTGAAGTTGTTCCTTGTGTTCGGCCACCTTATTTGTCATGTCTTGATAGATGGAATACGAGCTTCCCGATTGAACAACAGCCGAAAATGGACGAAAAGCTTTATCGAAGAATTGTCTGAAAAATAAAAGATGATAATAATAATTTAATTAGTTTTTCTTTCAAAACTAACTGGTAGTCTTCGATTGGTTTCATGAGTATTTGTTGAACATAATTTTCAAAAACTTTCAATTCATTTTGTTCAATTAATGCTTCCAATGCAGCGAGTACTTCAGGTGATGATACTTGATAAAAATATTGTGATGCTAAACCAGGACCAGCCGTACGCCGAGCAAGAAAACTATCATGTGCCGGTATACGTGCAAGACGTTTAACAAGTACTTGAAACATAATCGTATCGTACATGCCACGCGAACATCGGTGAATGAGAGCATCTAAAACACAAATAAAGATAGATAAGGATTTGTTTAGAGTACAGCAATCTTGACAACTTACAGATGAGAATAATAAACGCAATGAAAGGACTACCAAGTACGGCGATTAGAGCAGCTATTGGTTGTACAATGCCACAAAGTAAAAAATCGGTTATCACAATATTAATGCCGCAAAAAAGTTTTCGACCATATTCGCCTAAATAAAATGAGACGAAAAAATCAATTAATAATCTTATTTAATCTCAACAAAATTA